TGGTTTTGTCCATTTTTTCTGACGGTAACTATCATCAATTCGTAGATTGCTACTATTATTTTTTTTTCTCTAGAGATTTAAGAGTCGAAAGTTTTTTCTAAGCCATACTGCAGTTTATGAACACCATTCGTGAAAGTCTGTACAGCGTGGAATCTTAGCGAAACTAAAGAGAATACCTCTTTGAACATGTTTAGGTGGCCTGGGTTTAGCTCCCTTAGCGTGAAGGCTGATATTTTGCGGGTTGTAACATTCGATTCCACTGGCTCGCAATTCCACTTTAGTGTAACGTTGGGGCCTGGAGGTTGAAGTTAATATGTATCTGCGTATTTTCTATTCATATTTGATTGGCAATGTATCCATAGCATTACATAGGGTCCTTATCACTGCATATTATAAGACCCGATCGGTTGTGGTTTTCTTGGTACATCGTCTAACACCAGCGAACCCCGAACCCAACCCATTTTGCGTTCACACTCGCGTTTACGCCCGATCAAGATCCACCACGCGATCCAGATCCGCCACGCGATCCAGATCCGCGTAGTCACTGGCCCCGTTCCCACTAGGGAAATTGAGCAGCTTAAAATTAGACTGCTTGAAAATAAGCCGGCTCGGCGTCAATTTTTCCCTAGTGGGAACGCACCACAACCCGCTTAACCCACCTCCTGAGGTAGATTATTTTTAAGCAGCTTCGATATAAGCCGGCTTGACCGGCAAATTTCCGTGTGTGAACGCTAGCGTCTTGACGGAACCAGCTTAGGACCGTCCAACTTCCGGGTTCACGGGGTCAACATACGGGCTTTTTGCTTGTGTCAACTGGAAAATCCCATAGCGTTGTTGTTATTTTTTGTTTGTTGTCATGCAGGAAAAAGTACTGATTTGGATTATCCATACTTCGCATAGCTATTGTGCTCATGAGAATTTACAACTGTTCATATGTATTGGTACAAGATCCATGTAACAACTTTACAAATTGATAATTACGAAACGTTCAGTCTTCCAGAGAACTTCCATCAATTATGTTGACATGTTTACAGTATACATCAAAATTCTATCTTGAAACCTGTCATAAAACATTATAACTTTACTTCAGCAAAGATAACTGCAGTTTAATCGGCTCAAGCCAGTTACGGCACGCGCGTGTGGGAACGCAAGCAGGGGATCGAGCCGCCGTGGATTTCCCTGTGTGAACGCAAACGGACCAGAAGCAAGCCGGCTTATTTTCAAGCAGTCTAATTTTAAGCTGCTCAATTTCCCTAGTGGAAACGGGGCCACTACCTCCTCGAGGTGGATAACTTTTGGATCGGGATCGGAAAAATCCATCCCGATTGGAGCGTTCAGACTGCAAACACTGATCTGGATTGACTTCATTTCCATGATTCGATCCCGATCGGCGGTCAATCCAGATCCATTTTTTTTCACTTTTAACGGCGTCGAAGTTCAGGGTTGTAGAGCCTTGAATTAGAAACAAGTAAATGTTGATCGTGAGTAAAGTAACTTTATGTGATTGTGTTATCATACCAGAAACAAATAAGTATTTATTTTGAGTAAAGTAGTTTTATGTTTTTGTGTTTTGTCATACTACAGTATGGCAAAGCTTGGGACTGTGCTTGTTAACTGTAAAGGGACGATATTTGCCTTATAGGGCCCAGCAAGCTCAACTGACGATTGGCGACGTGATGACAGCGCCACCTTTTGGAAAAGGGCGGAGATGCACCGCAGATCAAAGAGAAACTCCGAGGCCAAGACTGTACTCATTCTTGGAAAACGTTCAGGTAAATAAAGTTGGCCGGTCTGTCAAGTGTTTGACTAGGAATGCTCTTATCTGCAAATAAATTCAAATCTTTAAAGAATAAATGAATACATGTTTATCAAACCAACAGACTTGGGATGTCTGTCAGGACCCCCCGCGAGTGATGGTCCTCCGCAGGTCACAACCCCAGCAGCCCCGACTGCTCCTCCGCAGGTCACAACCCCAGCAGCCTCGATTGATCCTCCTGTAGGTGAGTTTTGGGGACCGGGGTTCCCGCGGTTCTAATGTGTCTAATGCTACACAGCGACACAGTCATACATTGTAGCGTTTCTACCATTGTGCCTAAACACATCACCGCATTTCATAGACAGATGGCAGTCATATACAAGTGTTACCGGTCAAATTTAATTACTTTACATCATGCAAAAATTTTGACGCAGTCCAAGTCATTCTAGTCCGGTATACTTGCGACCTGTTTTTTGTTCCTTTCTTTCTGCGCCCGTTACTTTGTGTTTCCACGTTTACGGAATTTGATAGTTTTGTCATAAACGACCATGTTGCGATGAGTTACCAATATTGTCCTATTGTATGAGTATCAATCATTGCATCGTGACTCTGTCCCCTGCTACTTACCGTTTCCCAGAGGCAGACTGCGCTGCATATAAAGCCGCCGGACACACGACTAGTGGAGTCTACACACTTGGCCCACCCCTGTCCGGTGTAATGGTCTACTGTGACATGGATACAGCAGGTAGGCATTGTTTCCAGGCACATAGAGATCACCACTATATGTGGTGAAGTCATGTTTATTCTGATGTTTCTTCTTCTTCTTCTCCTCCAATTCCTCTCCTTCTTCTCCTGCCATTTCGTTAAATGGATTCAATTTCTTCATTTTGGGGCCAATTGACATGAGATTTGGCATGAAGGTAGAGTAGCCAAATACCCGAGGCGTTTGTCTTTTTTCGGTTTTTGGAAATTTTTTTTTTGTTTGTTTTTTGTTTGGCCATTTTCATGCATAAAAATATGCATTTTGGGATCTGGAGCCCTGATAATAAAACCAAATGACCTTTGGCACGGGGATACCTTAGACATATGTCTACAAATTAAACCTCATTCAAGCTTAAGACATACACCACTTTAAAAGTGTGAAAAATAGGGCTTTTTGGCTATTTTCTATTTATATTAGTATGGATGGAATATATTGTGTTCGCTCATGTTTCTCCTTCTCCTCCTCCTTCTCCTCCTCCTGCCAAACAGTCAAAGGGATTCAACTCCGCCATCATTCAGCCAAATGACCTGAAATTTGGCATGGAGGTAGAGTGGGCAAATACCCCCCGACGTTTTTTTTTTTTTTTCATTTTTTTGCAACATGCCTTTAAAAAATTTTTATGAAGGTTTTTTGGGGCATTTTTCGACAAAAAATGGATTTTGGATCCTGAGCCCTGGTATTACAACCAAATGATATGACATTCGGTATAAGGGTACCTTGAACATGTGTCTACAGAATAACAGTCATGTATTTGGCATACACCACTTCTAAATGACTCATTTGGGGGACTTCAATGGCCATTTTCAGCAAAAAAAGGGCCAAAAGTGCTGTACCCGTTCCATGTTCTATCTGAAGAATGGCCGTTTCCATCCATGGAACACGTGTTCCATTGCGGGTTACCTGAGGTCACATTCCACCTAAGTGGTGCGTAATGACCCACACATTCAATTTTATGTGCCTAAGACCATAAAAATGTATCAAATCTCATCATTGTTAGTTTTTGCATACCTTTAATAAGATTAGTAAAGCTTTCGAGATTCAAAGTACTTGTTGTTGCATCTTTGTTCTCATATAGCTACTATTTCATTCATTTATTTGAGAACATTTGCCAGTTTTGCACTAGGGTAAGTTTGGAATAGTCCACTTTTGCGTGAGAGGGAGATGGACTGAAATATGCTGTATTTGCTCCCAAGCAAATGTCGGCCTTTCTAGTTCTATTATTTATTACCTTCTACAAAGAACGCAATTGATGCTTTTGACATACACTACTTTAAAACTGTGTAAAAGGTGGCTTTTTTGCTATTTTCGGACAAAAAAATGTACATTTTTGGCTCCCGTGCCCTAATAGTAAATCAGAATGACCAAAAAATGTCATTCCCGCTTTTGACATACACTACTTAAAAATTGTGTAGAATAGGTTGTTTGACTATTTTTTTGACAAAATCTGTACATTTTGGGTTTTGGAGACCTGGTATTACACTCAAATCATCTGAGAGTTGGTATGGGTATGCTTTATATCTACCAACAACAATCAATTGTAATTTTTGTCATACTTTCCCCTAAACTTGTATAATGTGGGACTTTTTGACCGTTTTAAGGTCACAATTTATGATATAGTTGGGGATGACTATCCAAGAGTCATCAGTCTGGCATGTAGAGCAAGAACCAATAGGCATGCAGCTTTCCTCTAATCCTCTTGCTGATTGGCTGTTGGAATTTGATTGAGTTATCTCCATGAACAGCTGCATACCATATTAAAAGTAGGTACTGCAAGTGTTTTGGTATTATGCCAACCTTTCCTGCTCCAGTATTGGACTGTGTGGCATAAATGCTTTTTTATCAACAGTTTGCATTATGCAAAAAAATACTAATCAATAATGTAGGGGATAGCTATCAAACTGTTGTATTCATAGTTATATGTCACTTCATACTATAGTTATATCGATGTAAAACGTTGTTTTCCTTGTGTTCTCCATCTTTTCCTGCCGTGTCGTAAAATGTGGTAAAGCCATCCTGAATTTGCTCCAAAGCAAATTCTAGTTTTATATGTTTTTTAAAATCACGTCTCGATCCGAAAGTGT